TGGGATCCAAAGCAGTCCTACTCTTCAAGCCAAACAGAAAGGAAGCATGGGAATGAAAGGGAAAAACAGACCCTTGTATAGCTAGGGGCATGGCTTCACTCCAGCAGCACAAGCAGAGCAGAAAACTTAACACACAGGCTGCAGGTACCGTGTGGGAGAGGCATAAGGCTGCACTCCTCGCTGCTCCCAGAACTTGGCGAGACGCTCCTCCTGAGCCCTGATCTCCCATAAACAGGAGGAGCAGTCTACACACACCAGCTTATTTTATAAAATCTCTGGGGTTTACTAATGTACCTTCAGAGCAAAAGCAATGAGAACAGGCCCCTTGGTGCTCTGTACCATGGCAAGTATGAGGGAGGAACAGGCAGTCCTCAAACTGCATTTCCTCAAAGGGTGGACAGCCAAGCAGAATTCACCACAGCCCTGCCCAGCAGCACTGCTGCAGCCAGCCCTCCCTCATCTCCATGCCAGGGCATGCAAAAGCCGCCTGCGGCACAGGCATTCCAGCACATGGCAAGCACCTCATTCCTCTCCCTGCTGCTGCAGGGTACAGACACCTCCAGGTTTAAAGTCTCCAGCGCAGCACGTCAGGTGCCAGAGGGCACAGCCTCCCTCACACAAATTTTGGGCACTGCTAACAGGCAGCTCATAGCCAAGAACTGTTGTGAAGGAAGAGCTGCAGGCAGGCTCAACAAGGAGCTGCCCTTCCCTTGGGAACTATTTTATGCTGGGCCCTTGGCTGTGACCCCATCTGAGCCACACTGCAGCTGTGGTGCCTGGCTGCATAACCCTGCTGGTCTGGAACCCGACTGACTACCGGGCCGCCTTTCTGGATCGATCTTGGGTCCGTCTCGTCCCCATGGACTTGTCTCAGAAATCTGGACTCCTGGCTGGCCCTGGTCACCACTGCCAGACCTGCCTTGCTCATCTTGTTCTGGTAGCGTGGGGCTGCAGCCTTGCCTGTGAAACCACTGCCTCTGCCTGTGCCCTTCCAGCACACAGCTCCCAGCTCATCTTCCCTTAGGCAGCAGCTCATCCTTTCTTTGTCGTGACACAGAGCGTGGCGCGGCAAGGCAGCAGAGTTTGGCTTGAGAGCTGCTTTTCAGCCACAAGCTAAAGAGTATGAAGCTGTATGCAATATGAGCGAAGCCAGAAGCAGCTGCACAGTGCCAGCCTCTGCCAGCTGTTATTATGGGCTGGGAGAAGGCACAGTGAGGCAATACATCTGAGGATGTCAGAAATGTTACTTCTAGCAGCTTTTCACATCTGCACCGGGAAGGGAAGTTTTGAGGTGGTTGTATGGTTTACCTGTGTCTTTGTTCATAATGGCATTGTAATAAGCAAAAAAAGCTCTGAATTCAGCAGGTCGGTGAGACATGGCTTTGAACACATTGGGCAGAAATCCAGTCTGTTCAAGGAAAAAGAAAAACAAGTCAAGAACTGTAACTTAACATGGAGCACAGAGGGCAACATTAATGCAGTAGGCTTAGAGAACAATTTGTTAGCACAGGAGTGCTGGGCAATCTCTGCAGACCCGTTCTCTTGCCCTTTCAGCCCATTTATACGTATGACTGAACATGTAACGATGTGGTTCTTAATTAGGTGTTGCTGCATTTTGATAGCACGTCTGATTGCCCGGCTCACTTCAGCCACAGCGGTAATGACCGCAGGCACATCGGCGAGCTCTCTTCCAGACAGGCTGTCTCCACTTGGTCTCCCTGCACAGATGCTGCTACGCCCATTTGACCATCCTAAACCTTCTGTAACTCTCCTCTTCCCTCCGAGCTTACAGGACGCAAGATAGGGCTGGCGCAATCCAAACAGCATGCCGTCTGAGGTGTTGGCACACCGTGGATGCATATGCTGGCACAACAGTGCTGCTCGTACTTCTCTCCCTGTTCTGCTCCCAATAACTGCCAGTGCCCTGTCCACCTCTGTGATGGTGTGCGAGGCTGCCTTTCCCAGAGAATCACTTGCTGCCTCTCACGTGCAGGATCAGCCGATGCAGCACCCACCCATGCCTGGGTCCCAGCAGTCAGCATTTATCAGCAGGGGTTCAGCCTCAGTGCCTGGCTGCCCACTGCAGTTCTAAACAGGCTGGGTTCGCTGTGATTGTGGTAACTGCCCACCGGCTCCATCAGCTTACCGGCTGCTGTTCTTTAGGGAGTTTATGGAAAAGGAGAGTAGCCCAGGTGTCACAGACCCCTCTGGCAACCTCCCTCCACTGCCACACAATTGCCTGTGCCACCCTCCTGTCTCACCCGTTGTTTACTGTTAGTTAACCAAGGGGAGGCTCTTCCCTTTTTGTCCACAACCCATTGGTTTACCTAGGAACCTCTGGCAACAGAGGTTGGCAGCACTGTTTGGATATCCAAGTCTGCTACGTTGGTTGGATCCTATACCTAGGTCTTTGCTGACCCTTTCAGTGCACTGACAAACAGGGGTCTGCATCACAGCATGTGAAATTTCAGCCGACTCTTCCTCTGAACGTAGTATTTAGCCTCAGGTCTGATGTCTCCTTTCATTATTAGGCAAACTTCACCAGGGCCACTGCAATGGTAGCAGAGCACAGATTCAACAGGCTGGCAGGAAGGATAGGGAGGGATGGACTGGCACTCCCCTGAGAGGAAGCTCTTGGAAGAGAGAAGTCTCCACGGAGCTGTGGCTGGTGAAGTATTTTAGCCATCAGGAAGGACTGTGTGGCATGCCTTCTTCGCAACAGTAGGGAAGGAAACTCTTGTCCAATTCCCTCTTTTTTTCCCCTTATACACAGTAATGCATTAGGCTTACTGTTCTGCCACTGCGCAGCCCATTTGGCTTTGGAGGAAAAACATCAAAGCGCAAAAGCAGAAATACCCCCTAAGCCTTTTAATACTGTCATCAAAACAGCTCCTCCTTTGTTTTTTCTCCATTGGAAGTGTTAAATATACTCCTAAAAGTGTCTCAAGTAAACACAGGTGCTCTCCCAGAAAAACAAATACATGTCAGTGTTCCAGCTAACCCCATGCATGAGACGCCATCTGAAGCTGATGCCTTGAACAAAGGCAGAAGGAGGAAAATTTTGCTGTATCACTGTACTAATGAACTTTTGCTTGCTTGAAAACTTCAAAATTTTGGTATGTACTAATTAGATAAGAAAAAACTTCAGCTTTGTCAATGGTATGCACTAAAGGCACCAACAGACAGGAGGCCTCAGGCTTGATGTGCCTTGGGCCCTGATGATAAACTTTGAGTTCTGCTGAGTTTTTGTAATTAAAACTTGCCAAGGCCAGTTAACTAGGAGAAAAAGATGACCCACACCACGCGTGACCAAAGGGGGGACACTATGTAAATGGTAATATGAATACGTATGACTGGAATAATATAAATTTCTGCTTGTTGTAGGTAATGGTGTGCACGATAGGTGAAGCAATCCCCCCGCGCACCCACCACTGCAATAAAGATTGCCTGCTTTTTAAAACTCCAAAATTGAGTCTTAGAGTTTCTTTGACCAGCTTTTTTGGTAACAAAACAACGCACTAGTCTCACAGAACCAGGCAGACTTACAAAACTGTCAACACACTGCAGGACTTCCAGTAAAATCCCCATCCTGTAGATGGGAAGGAACTTTGCAAGAAGTGCTGCTCACCTCAGTCTCCTATCAGGTTTGTGTTAGACCTAACTGGACCAGAACTGCTCTCTTAGGGTGTATGACATACTCTGACTTCGGACCCTTTCCACTGACAGAGTCTTGCAGCAGAACTCCTTTACCTTCATTTCTACTTCCTCCATGAGCTCCACGATGTCGTACGGCATGTCCTTCTTATTGGGTACCGGGTACCGCCCAACAGGCGTGCTGTATCCCACCTGGGGCCGCCTCCGGAGTCCCCCTGAGTCTAGGAGAGGCAGAAGCTGGGGAGAAAAGAAGGAGGAAAGTTTGTTATTCAGAAGGACACGTATCATCTCGGCAGCCTGGGGAGGGAGAGCTTTTCCGCAGCTACTCCTCCTCTTCTGACACGACTTAGGGGCACCTCTGTCACTGTAAGCCACTCGCTGCTCCACTAGCACGGCAGTCAGTGGTCTGGGAAGGGAAACCCAAGCCCCACTCCTGGCTGTAGCCCTATGCTGCTGTGTGGGCATCCGATGAGGATCACCTCCCCTTGCCCCCCTCCTATGCACCATCTCAGCTGCAGGGCACAGCTGCTGCTCCTTGCAGTCCTCGCCCGCCACGGATCAGCCCGTCTGCACCAATGCTGAACCTGCGGCATCTCCCAAGCTTACAAGGTGTTTCCCACCAATCTCCACACAGCAATGTCACACGGACGTCTGGCAGTGACCCTAACAGATCTCCTTCAACAAAGGAGCATGAAGAATCAATTCAAGGCCTTTTTTTTCTGCCCATCAGCTTCCCTCCAGGCAAAGCCACCTTCCCTCCTGCGGAACAATCAGTGGCACCAGAACCGGGCCTTCTGGAGGCCTGAAGTAAACAGCATCGTTACACCTGAACCACTGGAAAGGGTTTGGTACTGACAAGACTGTATCACCCTTCGTAATGCTCCATTACTGGAAGAAGTGGTGGTCTTGCAGTGTCAAGGCTACAGGCCTTGTTAGCTCTTCAGCTGTGTAGTAAAGGGCTTTACAAAAGCAGTTGCATCTTACAGATGGGTGGGCTGGGCCGGAGAGCGGAGTGACTCAGTGTTGAGCATCGGTGCAGGCGTGCGAGCAGAGCCTGGGGTGTCCCAGCACCCTGCTCAGAGGGCTCCTCGAGCATCTTCCCAGCTCTCCAACATGCACCACAGCAGTTCTGAATGTTCCCAAGAACATTGCACGATCCCCAGTGATCCCACCACCGCATGGCGTCCCCCACAACTTTGGGGTGAAAACTAAACCTGTTGGATCACACATTCTCCAAGTGGTTTTGCTTGGCATATACTTGAGTTCTGGCCCTGAACGCCAACAGGCTACTGCAGCGTCAACAAGTAACAACAATAACTGGGGCAGAGACACCTCGGCTTGCTGCTATGAGGAAGGAAGACGGTGGAATAGCTGTACATGCTGTACCAGAACGTATCCAGGCACCACCTAGGAAAACGATGAGAAAAACACTAAAGCAATTACAAACAGGAAGGTCATCTCAGAAATTAAACTTCTGAGGATAAGTGCAAAAATACACCGGGGTGCAACAGGTAGCTTTTAAGGCCATTGAAAGCAAGGATTCCCATCACATAAAGGTCAGCCAGTTCAAAACCAGAGCGAACCCGTACACATCTGTACAACGGTCCAGTGGGTCTTCCTCCCTATCGCTGGAAGAAAAAGCGTCAGGGACCGGCTGACGCAGCGGGTTCAGCAGCTTCACGGAGGGACGTTGCGCAAGTGCGTGACAGGCCGACTGGCGTGTAACGCCCCGAGTGAAAAGGAGAAACCGTCACAGGGGTGGGAGCCGCTGGCCTCCATGTCACCCGTGGAGGCCATTAGCCAGGGTGGCCAGTGACCTTTTTCCCTTACCCCGCTCCTCCTGCGGAGGGTCCCAGCCGGACCTCGCTCCTCCATCAGCCGGTACCGAGACCAAC